ATTTTTCCACTTTTCCCCATAATGACAATAGACATCTTCTTATACTCAGGTAGGTATAAGTTTCATTATTATTTACCAATCCATAAAGTTTCTTTATGTTACTTAGGTTCTCATACCCAACCACTGCCCAACCCTGTCTGCAGAAAAATACAACAATCTGATATTATAGACAAATTTATATATGCTGGAATGTATTAGGATAGAACCAGAGTTTAGAGACATCTGGCCTTCATTCATCTTGAATATATGTTTAAATTTATCTCTTTTGTTTCCCATGATAATTGTTCATTCTTAATATTAAATAGTGTAGCATTGTATAGCTACACGGCAAGTTTTATAATTTAGTTTATTTCATGTGTATATATGCTTGCCTACATATAGGTATGAAGAACGCATGCATGCCTGTTGCCCATGGAAGCCAAGAGAGGATATTGAATCCCTTGGCACTGGAGTTAACAGTTGAAAACTGCCATGCTGGTTTTGGGAAATGAGTCTTTGCCTGTTGCCTGTTGCTGAGGTTGTTTTCAATTTCAGTGTCTTGTATATAAAGCTGTTGTGAACTGAAATAAATAAGTCTTTAAAAGAAAATATGTCCTCTTTCTCCAGGTTATATATTTGGGTTGTGATGGCCAGATGACAATTAACATATGAAGAAACAGAAAAAGATTTTTCCAAGTTATCATCCTGTTTTCCATGGCCACCAGCAGTGGGTATTTGAGAGTCATCCTCCACAAACTTGCCAGGTCTTTGTATGACAAGTCTTTATTTCTGAGTATTTTATGGGGTTGTCTAGAGTCCCCTCAGAGTCACCTGTTGATGGAGGAAGGTCATTGGCTAATAAAGGAACTGCCTTGGCCCATTTTATTGGTTAGAAGATAGGTGGGAGGAGTAAACAGAACAGAACGCTGGGAGGAAGAGGAAGTGAGCTCAGACTCCACAGCTCTCCTCTCGGGGGCAGAAGCCTCAGAGAGACGCCATGCCCCGCTCCTGGGCAGACACACGAGATTAAGCTCCGACCTAGAATCTACCCGGTAAGACCGGTGCTCACAGATTATTAGAGATGGGTTGATCGGGATAACAGAATTAGCCAGTAAGGGCTAGGACTAAAGGGCCAAGCAGTGTTTAAATGAATACAGTTTCCGTGTAATTATTTTGGGTAAAGCTAGCCGTGGGGGCGGCCGGGTGACGGGGACGCAGCCCCGCCGCCCTTATTACTACAACCTGTCTCTCTTCCCTAAGTGTTAAGGATGTTGCTGCTGTATGTTTCTCTGAGTGGAGCATCTACTCACCCTTCTGGTCAAGTTTTATTTCCTGAATTGTCTATTTTCTTAGTGTCTCCTTTAGAAGCTTTCTGTATTCTGGATACAAGAAGACTGTCATCTGATATACAATTTCCCACATTCATTTTCCCAGGTAAGAAAAATATGTTTCTATCATATATTTGGAAGAATAGATATTTTCTCACTTTATGGAATTCGTAACACTCCAGTTCTTCATTTAATGAAAGGGGGTTTGCCATATCTAAGAAGTTTGTTTGTAATTCATGAACCTGAACATCCAATTGTATTCTGCTACAAGATTCATGTTTAGGTTGTAATTTGGACTTCTTTTAGGTTTATTTTCCCTATTTACTGAGGGTCTGCCTGTATGTCTGTGTGTGCCAAATACACGTTTGAGTGCAGATGCCCACTGAGACCAGAAGAGACTGTCAGTTCCCCTGGATCTGGAGTTACAGACATCTGTCACCCACCATATGGGTGCTGGAAACTGAAGTCAGGTCCTCTGCAATAGCAAAAGGCACTCTTAACTTTTGAGATGTCTCTCTAGTCCTGTGTAGATCATTTGTTCATTCTCGATTGACTTTTGTATCCTGCGATATACGATTGTCTATATTTATATTTGTGCATGGGGAGGTCTGCTTGTCCCAAAATAAGACAGAAAGACAGGGCATTGAAGGGGATATGAGAGGGAACACACAGCCCCTCACCCTGTAATCGTTTTTACATTTTTCTGACATTCAAGAAACCTCAAGCCAACTGATAGAGCCAAAATTACCTGCAGATATGATGCAACTATTCCTAAAGACATCCCAAATAATGTTTAAAAATAACAACAAATAAACTAGAGTCTGAAGATAGGGTTCATTCTTTAATATCACTGGATGTCTTCCAGAGGATCCAGGGTTGATACCCAACACCTACCCGATGGTTCACAACTGTCTGTAACTCCAGTTCCGAGAGATCTCATAAAGTCTGGCACCCTCTGTGGGCATTATTAGGTACTCACGTGGTGCACAGACTTCCCTGTGGAAAAGCATTCAAAAGCAGAAAATAAAAAACGCAGTTATGCTTACTTAGGGGCAGAATACTTGTAGCCTTGAGATGGATGATGATAGCACTCTATTCTCTCACCTAAGTCACATAATCACCTTACAATTTAATTTACTGAAAGAAACTTTAAAAGGAATAAGCACATTCAAAAGCATTGCTTTTTATTTTCATTTTTTACTTTTTAATAACCTATTGAATATTTTTTTCCTAATGGAAAAATAGAACCCATTTAAAGAGTAAAAATATTCTTATAGTTAATTTAAAAACCTGAATATAGGCTTTAATGTAATTTAATCTTGAAATTTTCTGAATTACATTCTTTCAGCAATGTAACTTGAGAGCCATAAAAATCCTCCCATTTCTCCCTCTCCCACTGTACCTCCCTCCCTGCCCACCTCACATACCCTTTGCAATGACACCTAATCTCAAGTCTCTCTCCAATCCACTCTCAGGCCATCATGCAGGAGCCATCCTAATTCTGTGTGAGCTTCTATCCACAGGATTAATAAGCTCACAACCTTTGCTTCATCCTGGCTGTTTCTGAAATTCTTTACTGCATCCTAGATTCATCTTTACCAGGGTCAAGGTCATCAAAGGGACAGGGTTATCCTCAGGCTGCTGGTCACTGTGCTGGGCTGTACCTCCCTACCACTTATGGGGAGTCCCAGAAAAACTCGGTGAAGCACAAATGTCTGCTTCACTTAAGTGTCTTTGAGTCTTTGCTAAAGGTGTCCCCTCACACATGTGTGACTCTTCTGTCCCCTTCATATTCTTTTCTGTCTTATTGTCTTTTCCAATCAGGCACGCTGTCTACATTTCTCTAGGTTTATAAGGAGTTTGGAAGTCAGGTGTTCATCCTCCAAGTTTGTCCCTTTATAAGGTTGTTTCAAGCTGGGGTTCTCCATATTCACTGTGAATTTCAGGATAAGCCCATTAGTTTATGAAAAGTCTGTTAGAGTTCTGTTGGTATTGCACTGGATCTATAGGACTGTATGAGGAGAACAGACACCTGTATCTTCCATTGCATGAAGATGATTGTAGCGTGAGTTCTAATTGGTCTTAATAATAAAATCTGGAGTCAGATATTAAGTAGTTGGAGCTATAAGATCAGAACAGCAGAGCAGCCAGACACTAGTTCTTTCCTCGACAAAATCCTCAGACCAAATGGAGCATCCTGTCTCTACAAGACCTCAGACTGACTGCCTGGATCTCCTATCTCCTCCCACCTTATATTCCTCTCTTTTCCCAGCCACATTCCTTTCATTCTCCATCTCCCTCGTGCTGGGATTAAAGGTGTGTGACACCAAAGCACTTTGATGAAAGATGTGAGTCACCACTGCCTGACTCTGTTTCTCTTTTAGACTGGATCAATCTAATGTAGCCCAGGATGGCCTTGAACTCACAGAGTTCTGTTTCTTAAGTGTTGGGAAAGGTGAGTTCCAACACTGCCTGTCTTCTGTGGCTAACTAGTGGCTATCTGCACACACTGATTCTCAGGCAAGCTTTATTGTCATGGAAGAAACAAAATATCGCCACAGTCGATGAATCTATACATCTTTACTCTCAGCAATGAGTTGTCCCATTCAGTGTCTAGGCACTACAGAGAAGTGGGCAGAGTTTTCCTAATTATTTCATATTTCCTGATGCTATCTCCAGTGACAGGGATTTTAAATTACAGCTTCCACACATTCATTTCACTGTGGTCAGCTGTCTGTGTTAAATTTAGACAGAGTTATTGATGAATCTTTTAGGTTAAAATATTTAATTACATTCTCTATGATGAAAATGTCTTTGATGCTAACATATATTTGCTGTGTTTAAAATTCAGTACTTTTAAGTTGCAAGTGAATTAGGAGAACAGAAACAAATGTCCAACACCCAGTTTGGGGGAAAATTTCTAAGGCAGCCACAGGTCAAAGGTTTGCCCCAATGGCATCTTTGGAATCATAGAGATAGTCCTTTACCTCCCAGCTAGCTCCATCAGGGAGGTGCTGAGATCACGGTGGAGAGAAAGAAGGGGATACATGTGAAGAGTTAGGTATGTATGTGTAACTCCAGAAAGGTTTGTATTATGAAGAATACTTAGGTAATTATTTTCAAAATATCTAATATTATTTTCCCCAACACAAAAAGGAAAAGGTTAGTACTCGTGTGTTTTCCCTCTTGTTTTCCCATCCAGTCATGCAGATTTTAGCAGTGTTGCTGTGGACTTGTACAGAGGGGGTGTTTTATGTATGGTTCTTTCCATGTTTATTATAACCATGACGCCTGCTAAGTGTTGCTCTGATGCCTACTTCCCTGTGCAGTTGCTAGTATACAAGAATTGCTTGTCTTTGAGTAATGTTTCTCTTTTATCTTTTGTTTATTAATGGATTTACTCATGCGTTTGTGTCTACTCAGAAACACCCATTTCTTAAAGGAGTACTCCTTTGTCATCATTATATACTGTGATGCTTAAATTATCCCATAACATGCCCGTGGGAGTACATTCAAGTGGACCTGCTCTTCATTTGTTATCTGTCTAGAATTCTGGATTATCTGACCACCCCTGGGAAGAAAGCCAAAAGCAAATGCCTCTTGTCAGTGATACTTTGTGTCCTCTGCCTATCAATGTCAGGTCTCTTCTATGAGAAGAACAGCAGGACTGCAGAGAGAACACGCAGAATGTTGACAAGAAGCTGACATGAGCCCTTGTTTCCAGTATGTGAGTCATCATTGCCACCAATGTGAGTGTGTGTGTGTGTGTGTGTGTGTGTGTGTGTGTGTGTGTGTGATGTGTACATGGCTGTGTATAAAGGGTCTGTGAAATGAACAAAGAAGAGGAAGATGTCACTGCACATCTTTGACTTGACTGGATGCAGACAGACTACTCCATCCTTATATTCAGTACAGTAGAGTGACAAGATCATGTGGGACTCACCAGGTGAGTCATTTCCTTTTCTCTTCCCATCTGTGTGACCAGCAGCTGGTCTGTGATGCCTTGTAGGAACACATCCTGTTGAGCAGGTAGCAGCAAAGAGCAGCACACTGTAAAACAATGGCATTCATAGACTCCCCAGATGACTGAACCCTGTAGGGGTCCCTTTAAATGACCAGGACTGAAATGGAAGCAATCCCCATCAGACCATTTCCCCGAATGGGCCATGCATGACTGCATCACATTTGGAGGGATTGCTTATTAAGATGGTAGAAATCTGGATCCACAACAGACACTGAATCATGCTTATTAAAATGGTAGATATCTGGGTCCACAGCAGACACTGAATCAATACCTGTGATGTGGGGGGTGGCATAGCCACTTCTTTCTGATGGCTGTCCATGTTAAAACGTATTGCTAGTGTGTTTGATATTCTGTCTTCCAGGATATGAAGTCACAGACTGCTTAAGTCCATACCATGTTCTCTTGTTACTGCCTTAAATACCACTGTGTTGCATGGCATATCAAATAGACAAATCAATTCCTTCGTGTACGTTTATCCAGATATTCACATAGTGGCCTCTTTAGTGAACACCTTGTTCCTGCACTGTGAAGACTAGCACGGGTCCTTGTATATCGTGTTAGATAGGCAAACTGTCAGTAAGCAGAAGAAATCAGTAATCACAGCAATTCCGTGTATTATTGGCGCTTTAAAGATCATAAAGGGGACAGGAAATAGTTGTGATGGGGATTGTCGTATGTGATGTTACCCCCAAAGGTTTCAGAAGTTAGCATGTGATCTGAGTCCTGAATGGCAAATAGAAGCAAGACCGTGCACAAACCAAGTTGTGGGCGTGCTTGCTTCCATGGAGAACAGTGGATCTAAGAGCAGAGAACAAGGCTAGTTGCCAGAACCTTGAAGACAACGTGGACACTGCTTGGGGATAGGACAGAAAGGAAAATGTTGTCATTGTCAGCTGTGTATGACATTTGGATTATATGATCTGTGTGGAAGGTGAGTTATGGAATTGTCATGATATGTTTCCTTTTGGTAGAAGGTGACTTGGCACTGAACAGAGAAAGGCCTGGGGAGGGCGGAATGAGGGAGTGTGTGGAGACAGTGGAGATGGTTCCGAAGACAGGGGAGGGATGGAGGTATGAAAGAGGGATGAAGCCATGCTGCAGTGATCAGCAGGAGAGCTGCCCTGTGCAGCCTTGTCTGGGAGAGGGCAGATAGCACCTGGATGCGCTGTGCATTTTCCTTGTGGAGACATTGCTCTAACATCTCTGGATTTGTCTGACCACATGGAGACACGGTGCTTCCATTTACTGACATCAGTTATTCCACCTGTATTGACACAGGATAGTTTGAATACCCAATATAGTCATTGTAAAACTTAACAATTTGATAACGAGTTGCTGATGAATAATTTTCAGATGTAAAGTTTTCTAAGTATAGCTAACTGTAGCATAATTTCCAACAGAATAAGAATCTAACATTTGTCTCTTAAAAAATGAACCCAAAATTCAGTGTATTTTTGAAAATGGCTGTTCTACAGCATGTACTGCTCTTGGCAGGTTTACAGATGAAGGAAGTGAGTAGGTTTTAGGCAGAGTTGAAGTGAAATCAGTCTCTAAATTCTGCAGCAACTGTTTGTCCCTATTTCTCCAGAAGAAGACTGCCTTTAGAAATGCTTATTTTTGACAGCTGGGCATGGAGCAAACATTCACAAGACAGAGGCAGTTGGATGTCTGAGTTCAAGGCCAGCCTGTAATTCCAATTGCATATATCAACATTAGTCTGTCACATATGCAGGAACTTGTGACTGGTATTTAAAGCAGGTATTATCACTAAAGACCCCCAACTTAGCACATGAGCAGTGTCTGCAGAGGGTCTCACTCTGTTTTCTCCTCACAGAAATTCCCAGCCTTTGTTTGGAAAATGGGTCCAGGACATCCTGGCTCAGGGAACCAAAGTTGCTGGGGCTAGGAAGGTCCCACATCTCTCTGACTCTAGAAAAGTGGTTCAACCAGTGACTTGACCCCTTCAGCAAACGTCTATCTCCAAAACTATTTCCATTGTGATTCTTACCTGTAACAACTTTACAGCGATGATGAAGCAACAGAAATAATTTTCTGGTTGGGATCACCACGCATGAGGGACTGTATTAAGAGTCACGTCACAGCATAGGAAGGCTGAGAACCATTGCTGTACAGACATCCAAACGCAGAATCCGGCTTCTCAGATATCTCTGGGATCCCTTCATCATTGTCCCCATACTCCTAGGGAGGCACAGCCCCACATCAGGACACATACACTCACATCTCCGTGCAAGGGAAATCCTGTTCTTCTTTCTCCGTCATTTCTATTTCCACACACTATGCTATATTTCCAAATTTTCTTTTTTTATGTCTTCAGCACTGAGCTTAAGGATGTGTCTGATTCTTTGACCAACCTTTTTCCTGTTTTGTGATTCTTCTGCAGGGTCTGGGTCATTGGCTGTGCACACACATCCACAGACAGTACAACAACAGCCTCTAGTCCCTTGTTGCTGACCTTTGGGAAGCTGGGCATGTAAGGTAGGTTTGCTGGCAGGAGACTTTCTCTCAGGAACAGGATGTCCTTGTCAGAGGCTGGACTCGAGGATGCTACAGCACTTAGATCTGCCCAGCATCTGACGGCCCGGTCCCAAGCTCTTCACAAATGTGGTGGGAGCACATTTGGGGATTTTTAAAAGTGGTCCCTAGACACTGCTATTGCTCCCCTGGCTGTGCACACATTCCCAGCTATATTCTTGATTTCTCTGGTAGCTGTTCAATGAGAATGCTATACCATGAAAAGAAATCACTGGTGAATTTAAAAAGCCACAGTATGGGGACTGGCGACATAGCTCTCGTGGCAGAATGATTGCCTAGAATGGAAATTGCTCTGTGTTCTTTGACCCTCTGGGCATGTTCACCCTCACCTGTAATACCAGCACTCAAGGCGTAGAGGGAGGAGGAAAGAGACAAGAGAGTCATTACTGTTTATGAGAGTATGGCTCCCTGCCCCCATGGCAGATAGCTCACAACTGCCTTTAACTCTAGCCCCATCAGGAGTCAATGCCTCTGCCAATCATGTGCATACCACAGACAGACAGACAGACATAATTAAAAGTATAACTAAAATCTAAACAAGAAAAAAAAAAGAAGCATCAACTCCAGGTCATTGACCAAGGGGAAAACACAGTGGAATTTAAAATATGAACATTATAAAGGCTAACGGAATCTAACAGTCTACAGTCTGGCAGGGGAGATGACTCAGTGGTTCAGAGTGCATTCTATTGTTGCTGAGGATCCAAGGTAGTTTCCAGCATCCATTTCCAACATCCTTGAAGGACCATACCTCAGCTCCAGGAAGGTATGACCTCTCCTGACCTTTGGAGGCATAGGAATTCATGTGTACATACACATAGGAATATACACAACGTAATTATTATTAAGTTATGTACATTTTAAAATTATGTACAAATTAAAATAATTGTTATGAAACAATGAAGAAAAATGGTCAAATGCCAGGCAATAATGAGAACAGTTTTCATCAGCGTTAGGTGGCAAATGCGTGCACTTCCAGCTATTTGAACACTGGGGTTACACGATCATTACTGCTAAGAAGTTTCAGAACAGCCTTAATAGCACAGTGAGGCCCTTCCTCAAAATGATAACCAAACAAAAACCAGAAATATCTCAGAAAATGTGAAATTTCTTAGAAAAACAATCTTAGAGTACATGGTTTTTCAAGAGATGTGGATCATTATAAAATAAATTTTTGCAGGGAAATCAATGATAAAATTATTTATTTCGTGGGAATTCAACAATATACATGTAGAAATGGAATGAAAATGTTACTGGGCCGAGAAGAAAACAGTAGCATTAAGAATGTGTTTACATTAAAATGAATACTTGAGCTGGGGCAGTGTGGTAAGCTGGGAGGACCAGCAGCACTCTGAAGGCTGAGGGAGGAAGGGGAAGAGTCCCAGGCTGGGCTGGGCTGCTCTGAGACTCTGCACTAAACACACAAAATAGTTAGCAGGACTATTATCATTCCATTCACTGTGGGAAAGTTTCAGCTTAGTTCTGTCATGGGAAACCATCCTCTTTTCACTGGATGTTAGGCAGAGCCCTGTGTGTCCCTGGCAGACACATTAAAGATTACCATCCCCTAAATGGGGAAGTGACTTCCTCACCAACACATACAGCAAGGCGCACAGAAAATGGCGGCTGGGACTCTACTCAGATAGCTCACTCTCTGGAGATTTCCCTGCAGACAGCCCTGTGCCTTAGGGTTAGGAATAAGCCCAGCGACAGACACAGATTTCCTTATGGTAGTACATGTGCTTTCCTGTGGTGTTTGAAATTTCGTATCCAGGAAGGAAAGTACTTTAAAGTGTAAACTGAGAAAATTGCTTGTGCTCGGGTGGTAAAAGTGGGGCTGGGGAGACAGCTAAATCAATAAATTGCTGGCCTTGTGGGCATGAGGCCCTGAGTGTCATTCACAGAGAGCATCATCAAGAAAATGAAGTTAAACTACAGCAGGAAAAGTAGTAGGTGTGGTGGGACATGCTTGTGTGTGAAGGTGGAGGCAAGCCTATCCCTGGAGTGTGCTGCCCAGCCAACCCAGCCTGCCTTGCGTGTTCCAGGCCAGTGAGAAACCTTGTCTAAGAAAAACTTCAGGGGGATGGCGCCTGAGGTACAACACCGGAGGCTGCCTTCTGTCCCCTGACCACATGCATGTATGCATACAATTGCAGAAGCACACACATATGCACACGGGCACACAACCACACACTGGATAAACGATGTTTATACCTTCTGTACTTTAGAAGTAGTCATTGTGTTCCGTTTCTGGGCAATGAAGTAGAAGGACAAATGGAATCTACTCTCATGCTCTGTGCATGCCTGTGTGCATATGTGTGTGTGTGTTTGCACACAGAGCTCCACCATCTCTATCTAATGAGGCTGCTTTATGTTAGCCTTAGACTGGGATTGGTCTCCAATCTTGGGTTTACATTTGATATACCTAAGATGTCAAGGTTTATGTACCAGGAAAATATACTGAAGTGAAAAAACACTGCTTTATCTCCAGAGGTAAGGTCCCTTCAAGTCCAGGTCACAGCCAATGTTCCCTCCCACCCAAACATAGACGCCACTGGGCCCAAGACTCTCACTGATGTAGTCCCCATTATGGCCAGGAGGTGGCATTCAAACTACATGCCTACATTTATTTTCTTTAAAGGGGCTGATGTTTTATGGAATAGCAATGCGTTTTCAGTGTGTTTGGAAACTTGATACAATACTAGAGCAGTTCCATTTATGGATTGCAGCAACTGTAGTGCTCCACAACTCACTTCATCCTCCCTGAGTGTAAAGTGGGCAGTGCACACGGGATACAGAGTGGTGCTCTGTAGAGAATATGAATGTGGTGGTCACCTTGAATCCCCTGACACTGGAATGGATGGATTTCCTAGACTTTCCATCTCCTCTCCAGGAGGCTGTGGTACAGTCCCCAGATCGCTGCCTCCCAGGCAAGTTGTATCCTGGTCAGTCACTGCAATTGTGTTGCACCATGCCTGCTGGGGACTTCCAAGAGCAACCTGGTGTTTGTGGTGTGGTTGCCATGTACTTTTCCATGAATATGGTCTGCATATGGTTTAGATGTAATATGTATTCACCGTTACGATTTAGACCAAGCTTGGGGTCCCTTCTCTGTTGCACGAAGGTTTCCAAAGTATTTCCTTTACCTCACCCTCATTTTGGAGCCACTAACTAGATACTGAAAGAGAAATTATCCCCTGAGCCCTACAAGAAGAGATAACACAGAAGAAAAGAGGCAGGAACCCCAAGTCCCTTGACAGCCACAGGACATTGACTGAGCTACTGTTCTATTGCTGGGAAGAGGCGCTGTACTGAAGAGAATTTACAGAACAAAGCATTAAATGGGGAGCTTACTTTCAGTGTCAGAGGGTTAGTCCAGTACCATCACTGTGGGCAGCATGGCAGCAGGCAGCCTGGCAGGGCACTGTAGCAGAAACTGAGAGTTTACATCCTGATCACAGGCAGGAGGCAGAGGGCTTTTGAGTCATCAGAACTCACACCCAGTGACAAACCTCGTCCAATAGGGCCACACATCCTAATCTTTCTTAAACCATCCACCATTGGGATTGAAACATTCACCAAAAGAGGCGTATGGAGATCATCCTCATTCAAACTACCACCATTCAAAATACCACTATAAGGGATTTCCTCTGCCCCATCAAGCTGCAGAGGGAGAATTGTGGTTGGCTGAGTACTCATAAGTGCATAGACTAGAATCGGTTCCAAGATGTCAGTCATTAATAGAAGAGACTACTGTGTGACATTTGGGGAGAGCAGGAGGCCATTCAAGTTACTTGTCTGAAATAATGTGCTCTTCAGAAGACAGTAGTCCCCTTTTGGTTCTCTTCATGGATACTGAAACTGTATACTGAAACTGTAAAGGCCTTGAGCACACAGGAATTATACAAGATTTAGTGAACGTACACACACACACAAACATACATACACACACACACTTTCTTCAGCCATGTCGTCAATTTATTTCTGTGAATTAGTAGTTTATGGTGGGCCAGGCATCATCATTCTAACCCCACATCTACATGTCTCACACAATTCCTTTTTCCCTTCTTTGATCTGCTCAAGTGGATTCCCATGGAAACCATTCAAAGAGACTGCCTTAAACTGTCTGGTCCACAAAGAAAAACAAATGCTGCCTTGGAAACCAAGGAAAATTTGGCCCATCCTTCCCATAGTGATAGCTATAAGGCCCCACCCTGCTCCTGGCTATATCTCCCTTACAGAGGGGAGGGAGGATAAACCTTGTGTGGTGTCTGTCTTGGAAGTTATCCTGGGTGCGGAATAGATTTTTTTCTGATTCTGCTTTCCATGTGATAGTGCAGTTAACATGTCTCCATACTTAACCAAGTATGGATGATCTATAAGAAAGCAATTTGTTTAAGGAGGACATTGAGGTTACACCAAGCACGTGACTTCCCTTTCCCACATTGTGGAACTAGAACCAGAGCTACAGGACACAGAGAGGAAGAGGAACCACGTCTTCAAAGACAAAGACAGGCAGAGGGTCTAGTCTGAGCATGTAACTCTCCTGATTTCAGGAAATGCTCACCACAGGTTTCTCACATAGCAGTCACCTCCTCTCAGCTCTCCCCGTGGGTAGTCTGAGAGCAAAAAGACACTCTTCTCCATTGCTGGAGAGAATGCAACTGTTCTCCAAGCCTATGGATGGATCTTATGCTAGTGAAAACCTCAAGCGTGCATTCTGGGGACCAGGGATCTTTCTTCTAAGGATCCATCCCAAAGAACACAGAAGGGGACACAAAGACTGTCAGAGCAACACTGTAGAACTCCAAGAGGAGAACTATGAAAATCGTCTGTGGGAAGGAAAGAGGGACAGCATGATCTCAGGTGTATCTAGGACTGCTTTCCTCTGCTTCCTGACAGTTTACCCATATAACACAATACTCCAAGATCCGTGGTAATCTCAG